TTCGTTATAGAAGCGTTATTTGTCTCTGATATTATATTTACTTAAATCGAGGCAGGTATTCTTACTAGAAGTGCGACTGAAGTCCTTACCCTAATGGATATTACCTATTAATTTAGGAACCTAATGTACCAGACTCGCCCTAGTCATATTATAGCATCGATGCTGTTGCTTTGCAGCTCTCTGCCGCCTGATTATCTTAAGAATCGGTATCGGGGACAACGCCGATACGCTAATTACTTACTACAATCTATTAAAGAGGAGCTTAGCTCTGGTATGCCGGCTGAGTTAGTTCGGGCAATATGTGGCCGTTTGTTTAGCAAGGTTGATTAAGTGGTGTTGCGTTCCTATCCATTCGATTAAAGACTAATGAGCATTAACTCTTTCGTTGTATCTAGCAGTATTCCTGCAGTTGCTGTTTGCCCTATTTCTTAATATCCCCTGATGTTTTTTATACTAAAATCGGCCGTTATTATTCCTGAATTCATAAGCGTATTAAGAATTACTAAGATTTGGATAAAGGCTTATAACCTAGATAAACTAAGAACCCTGTACTTTTATAGTTAGCATAAGCAAATAGGTTTTCTAATTGTGTTATTAATTTCTGGCTATAAAGCTGTGCTGATTATGCTAGGCTTTGGAGTTTTTTTAAATTAAAACGCTTAATGGCAGAGCTATTAGACGCTATATCTTATGGGAGATTGACGCCAACTTTATAACGGTAATGCGGGCACTTAAGACTATTATTAATGCTATCTGCTTAGCTTATAGTAGCCGTGGGCTAATGCTTCTATTTATTGAACTACGTTAAAGTGGCCTATTTAGAAAATATTTAAACGCTATGTTTAAGCGCCTTCTTTGTGTTGATGCCCTTGCCGTCCAATTAATTAGCGTTTTAAATAAGGTCGTTTGCTAATTATGCTTTCGTCGATTCTTCGATTTAGAAAGCAAACAATATGCTGGTATATGGCTATTTTTTAGATGCCGCTTTAGTTATTTATATAGAGGGGCATGTGGCAACTGTGTATATTCTGTTAAGCAGATAAATTGCAAGTATTATTAAAGCAATAAGCGATATCTATATGTATTTTAAGATCTGCTAGCTTAGCATTGTAAGGAGGATATCACGCGTAGTAACAGCCCTTGCAAATTTTTAATTTCGAGCAAAGAACTTAAAGTCATAACTTAAAGTGTATTAAAATCTTTTCTTAAGAATAATTAGAAAGGTAAGGGTTCGAAATGGGCGAAGTCTTAATGGTTAAAAAGGGAGGGCAAAGTAAAGGGTAGCGTTATTAGTAGTTAAGGGAAATGGAGATTTTTAGGTTTATTATTATATAGCGTTTTATAGTTTGCGTTAAATATATAAGACTAATACTAGCGCAAGAGATGGCGCAGTATTTAAGAAAGTTTTGTTTAATGCTAGTTCTCCTTAGTAATACAAGCTTTAATATGACTTTCGTGCTTTTCTGGGCTAATTAAATTTTGCAGGCTTTGCGCATTTTTGTTAAATACTAAATAGCTTTATATGAGGTATAATTGCGTTACTTGTCCGTCGAGGCAGGTATACCTAATTTCTGGCAAGCATCAGTTTCAGTAATAGCTTAGAAATAGATTTCTTAGATCTTTTTCCTATGCAACACGCTAATTATATTATATTATGTTTTTTTACTACGTAGATTGCCTTAGTCAGTACTAATTGACTTGAAATATATCCTGGCGTATCTTATGTTAAATAGGTTTTTATGAATTAAATAGGTGCGGTATACTATGGAATAAAGGGGAAAATTAAGCCAGATATAAGCTAGCCCTAAGGACGGCAGTAAGCAAGGTTTAATTCAGAGCTGTTCTATAATTATATGCAAACTAACGAGGGGACAGATAGGTCATATGCGCTTGGTTGCTTAAATGGATTATGTATTAATTTTTAACACTGTCGGATGCTTTTGATTAATGATAAGCATATGCGATGTAATAGCTTCTACGGTAGGCTTTTATATTATAGGAGGAAAAACTAGGGTAAAGTGGTATATGTTATAACGAACGCGTTAAAGTATACAAAGTTGTAGTATTTGTTAATAGCTAAAGTAAACAGGTTTTAGATGATGGGCGGGCGGGCGTGGATATTAAATATAAGTAATAGCTTGTAGCAATAAAAGGACAGCAATAATACCTTTAAAAAGCACTGTTAATAGCGGCGCAAAAGGGCTATGTTTAAAATCTAGTCCGCTCTAGTAACTAAATACAGCGTTTATAATAAAAGTAAAAGGTATAAGAGGTAGGCGAACAACATATAATTGAATTCTTAAATGCGCTAGCAAAGTATATTAGTAATAATATTAATAATAAGTAGTAAGTTATTATATAAGACTAAAGCTTAAAAAGGGGAAGGAAATAAATGCGAAGCATGTCCGGAGATAATATATAGTATAAGTAGCCCGTAACAATAGCTAAAAGTTTAACATATTAATAACCTTTAATATAACTATTGCCCTTACTACTATTATGTTAAACATCGGCAAAAAGAAAGTTATTATATTTGCCGGGTTTATCTTGACCTAGGGGCCATTTATCCGGCATTATATCTATATTGTTATGATGGTTTTTAAGCATTTAGTAATATTAATCCAACCTTCCTTAAAGCAAGACGTTGTATTCTAATAGCGGTTAGTATTCCTTGTTAATATACTCTTTTAAGTATTGCCACATAGCAAGATAAGATTATAAATGTGGGCGCCTACTATCTACTTAGATTATTAATAAAGGATTACGAGCTAGCTACTTATTACAAATATGCTGTGTAGAAGGGCTTAAAAAGCTTTCAAAATTAAATTGAAAGAGAGGTTCCCTTATCTGATTAAGGGCATCGCGAAGCCAAGGATCGGCATTAATATAAACACCCCAGTTATCCACAATACCCTCCTTTTCTAAGTTTAGCCACAGCTGGGTAACGTTTCTATATATTATATGACTTTTATCTGGCTAAAATCGGATGTTATAAGCATTCCAAGTACGAACAAACTAATGGATCTCTTCTCTGATCATAAGGCTATATATAGCATAAATAGCTACCTGGTCCAGTAGCTATTAATGATCAAACAGCCTAGTTATAATAAGTTTATCAGCATAAGCTTTAAATCATTAGTTAACTATAATACATGGACGTTAGAATAATTAAATAAAAACTTACGATCTAGCGATCATTAACTTTATATTAAACTTGCCGCTACTATTGTTCGATCTTACGGTTGCCCCTACTGCTGCCCTAAATATGAGAATCTATAGGCTGGTGTCCTTGAGAATATATAGTTAGCTGCTTAAAGTTCAGGTATTAAAATGTCATAGTAGGTTTAGTAATACTGGCGAAGTGGTTCTGTGCCGATACCTATAGGAGTGTTTCCGATCCGTGGTTGCTACATATAAACTATGGGCAAAAACCGAGTTGGTTTACTGCTTGGAGATAGCTCCATAAAGTGACCAAAGGCATACTAATTGATCTGCTTACGTTGCAGAATATAATATAGCGTGAATATGCATTTATGCAAGCATAGATTTCGAATCCAAACTTTTTAAGCTTAAGATAGCTATCGAGACTCCATATGAAGTTAACTCCTAGCACGGAGAATTTCTTTCGCCAAAACGGCCGGAGTTTTTTTCGGTGAGCTACTGCGTCCGGCCATCGATTAAGGTAGATAGCCCTTAGTTCGTCCCGGCTAAGGCCTAGCATTATGTTCTATCGGATATACAAATAGAATATATTTCGGCCCATATCAATTATTTCAGACGTAACTTTTTCTTTTTCATTAATTTAACGCTCGATGGCATCGCGTAATTCTTGCTTATCTTTTTCGTTGTAAAAACAACGCTTCATATTATGGTTAAATCGAAGACGAGTTAATGCTAATTAGCTGATCAGGGGGAAACCTATAGAGCATAGAACCATACAAATCTCTTGGTCGGAAAAGTTTTTTTCCCAGAACCAATACTTTACTATTAGAACAAGGGCAGGGTTATATAGTAGCGCATGTTAGGTTTCCCCCCATTCTGATAAAAGCTTTTCTAGACTTCGTAGTAATGGGCACAAGTCTTCACGCTCTATTTCGATAAGATTTTTTATCTGCCATACTTTAAATCCAGCATCCCAATACTCCTTAATCTAGGCTTCGGCAGAACAAAGATGATACTCATTTCTTATAAGACCCTAGTCTGCTAAGCGGCGTTAAAGGGTTCGAAGCGTAGCATATATTCCGTATATATTATATAGCTTATTTATAATTTCGGCTTAAGTTAGGTGTTCTTCCGTATACCAAATTTGAATTTGGTCCCGGTAAACTTCAAGTAAAACAGGCATTATAAGCAAATATGCACTTCAAGTTAAAAAATAATTAAATCAAATTAAAATAGAAAAGGTCAGCCTACCCCTTAATAAATACTTATATAAGCCTTCGTTTTTAGTAAAGAAAGTATAACTAAGCAAAAACTAAGCAAAATGACGGCATTATTTATTTCTGCTCCAACTAAGTAACTTAAAAGTAAAAAAAGCAGGCTGCAAGGACTTTATATGCTATTTAATTGGTAAACTTTTTTTGCTAAGAACAGTCTGACTAATTAAACTCTATAAATCTTCAGTAAAAGGAATACCTATGTACGGCGCTTGGCCGTAGTTCCGGGTTCAACTCCCGGCCATGGCGTTTTTATCTTATTTTATTGTTTTATTTATTAGAATTAAGTGATTCTAATTAATATGTTTTGCTTTAAGGATTAAGTTCTTTTGTTATAGGTATTTCTGGATTCTTGCATGCTATATAAAATATGTGTGGGTAGAAAATGCACCTAATATGGCTACTTAAGTAATTATCCTGACCCTTTTAATCTTACACACCCTTTTAAAAAGAATTACATAAATAAAGCTTCCTTATAATGTTATAGGATATAAGTTTCTAATAGGTAAAAAAAAGAGCCAGGCAATTCCACTTTTTAAGTGGAATACCCTAGCACTGTAAGTACGCCCTGGCCGGGAGTTGAACCCGGAACTACAGCCAAGCGCCGCATGTATTACCGCTACCACTAAGGCTTTCTTAATTGATCAAATCGTCTTAAACATATATTATAAAACAACCTGACGAGCTGGCCCATTGTATCTTTGTCCTTAACTAGCCCGCAAAGTTCTCCAGACCTTCGTTGCTATCGAAATCAATCTCCCTATCTAAGCCTAGCGTTGTCCGCAGCTCGCAACCAAGCTTTGTGCCGTCGGATGCTACTACGTACGTTGCCATGCCTTTAACCAGTAGCCCGTTGTAGTCGCATAGCTCCTTTGGCATTTTCCTATTGTAATCTTTCCTTTGCTGAAACTATGTATGTATTGCAGACCTCCTGTGGCATGCCGCAGTCGAAACAACCAGAGAACCTTTGCAATTTACGTTTCGCAAAGACTACCTAGAAGTTTTCTGCCACTTGCCCACTTGCTTCCGCGCACTTCGCGGCGTTGTGCTGCCATTCTAATATATGCTTGCGTATGCTATTAAAACATGTAAAGCAAGTATTGCGTATTGATTCTAGCACTGGTAGCCAGTCCTGGAACTGTTGCTACTCCTTGTGCTCTGTTATAATAGCCGTGCGGTTTGCAAGTACTGCCTGTCTCTTGCTCTTTTCGCTGTGCCGAACATTTGACCAGATCGTTAAGGCCATTATGGCCTTAGCGTCCTTTATGATGGCCTTAACGTCCTTGTCTGCGTACTCGCTGCCGCTGCCGCCATTGTACTCTCTATATATAGCAACCACCTTGTCCGGTACCTCCTGATCTTAGGGCTCGCTTTCGCCCCCGGGTCCCTGCCACTCCTCCTTTTCCTCCTCTTTTATATTTGCCGCCTTATCTTTTACTCTGCCGCTGCCGCTGCTGCTGAACCCTTTGTCCGGGCTGTCTTCCTAGGGGCTGCGACAGATATCGCACTATCGCTCGCCCTTTTCGCAGCTTACCCGGTCGGCCCGCCCGTTTATGACCTTGTCTAGCACCGCGCGCCAGTAGCGCAGCCCTTCGACGAACTCTTTTATGTCCGGATGCAGCGAGAGCTTGCTGGCCCGCTCGCCTTAGGCGTGTAGGATGACCACCTCGCTGGGCTGGCCGTCGCGTTACCTGCGCCCACTCTCTTGCACATAGTCCTGCAGCTGCTTCGGTGCTACTGTATGCACAACGCTGCGGATGGTGGGTATGTTCACGCCTGCCCCGCGCGCGTCGGTGGCTACAATGAGCTGCTCCCGGTCTAGCTACTGCTGGAAGATGGCCTGCTTGCTTACGTCTGTGCCAACCGCGCTGTGATAGACGGCATAGCCGAGCATTTTCCCTAGCGCTTTTGCGCAATCTACTGTGCCGCTGTGCACGATGATCTTGTTTTTGCGGCTTGTGCCGTACAGTGCCTGCAGCCGGGCCACCTCCTGTGCAATAGCCTTGTTAAACGTTGCTGACGCGCTGTATCCTAGGGCGTGGTAGCAGACCTTGTACCGGATGTTGTGCTGCAACGTAAGGGACCGGACTAGCGTTATCCTTGCCTTGTTAAGGTGGGCAGCGCGGTATAATGCTGTCTTGTCTTGTACTAGCAGCGTTGCTGTTAGGAAGATCTTTTGTACGCTGCTTTTTGCTATAATTCTGCTGGTGCGGACGCCCGGACATGCAAGCTAGCGAGGAACAGAACTTTACCTAACAGAATTTTACTCCTCTGCAAGCCACTAAGCTTTTTAGCGGCTTGTAAGCTCCCCGACTAGAATACGCTTTATAAAATCAAATAAAAGTTGGAAAAATAAACGGGTAGCAGATTCGGGTTTATAGGATAGTTAGCTTTCGAATAGTATATAGGTTTAATAGGTGCACGCAATATTTACAAAACTAAAAGAAATCCCGTAACAGAATTCTACCCCCTGCGCTCGGGAGAGCCCGTGCCCCTTTGTATGTAGGGGGATAAGGCTTAAAAACAGTCTTAACGTACTACGCTTTTATAAGCATTTCCCTGTTTAGTTCATATATTACCACCTGAGGGTGAATGGTGTTCTTGCTACATACTTATAAGTGTAAAGAGGTCTTGCTTAAGTATTGCTGCTGATCTTTTTGTTTTCTAGCCGTCCTTATCCCTCCTTCGCAATATTTTTTTAAATTGCGAGCGCGACCTCGTGATAATTTGACCGGAAGCCCTTATTTTACACAGAATGCAGATGTCAGCTTTGTTTATACCAGTTTTATGCATCCTACTTTCACCAATCCAAAGTTGATCTGCCCTAAAGACTTTAAGGCCTAATAAAGCTGGCCCACCTGCGTCTGCCACCTTTTTTAGCTGGGGATGCCACTAATTTCCCATTATATAGTCAACATACGCCACTTCAGCCGTTTATAGTTAGATTTACGCAAGGGTTATACCTCTACGTAACTTAAAGTGCTTAAATATTTAGCTGCTTATATATAATAGTAACTATTAATAATATTGTTTTTTTATTATATAATCAGGTTATTGGCATAAATAGTATGCTACTAGGTACTTAGTATTTCTAAGGCTATTTAAGCATTAAATTATACACTTGGATTTGTAGATGCATACGTTCTAAGTTTACGTTGTATAACTTAATGCTACGGAATATAGGGCTTAGGAAGGCATTTAGGCTGGCTGCTTCGGCTGCTTAATTGTATGTGTATGTAAGTAGGTATATTATTTGTATAGGCGGGAGATTGGTGGCATCCCTAGCTAAAAAGGGTGGCAGACGCAGGTGGGCCGAATAAAGCAGATCTACCCTAAAGTGCAGGCGTAGGCACACAATATCCCTTACACATTTGCCTTATTAGCTCGCTGGAGCTGCACCGTGGCACTACAGCTGGACTACGATTTTAAGCCCAAAGGCAAGATCAAAAGTTGATAAGCAACCTGTTTCTGCTTTAGGTTAAGAAGACTTACTGCAATATTAAGAAGTCGACAAGCAATATATAACGTTCGTAGCAATTCAATCTTCTTTATTTTAATATCCAGAGAAAGGTAAAGTAACTATTAACTAGGTAAGTGCTAGGTATATAATTAGATAGAATATATTAGCATGCAGGTAATAGATAAGTGCTTGCTTAAAAGTCTCCAGATAGAATGCGGTTAATGTCTTTATTTAAAAGGCGCCGGCAGAGATTCAGGATCCTTTTTTTATTTTCTGGACCTGCATTTGCACTACTTATTGTTGTCTTAATCTGTTATACTAAGGCATCTTTTCCTTCCCACTCTTTTTAAATATAAGTTGACTATCGAACTTTTTTCTCTTTTTTGTTTTTACTCTTTAACATTAACAAATTAAGCAACCGGACACCTATACGCAACTATTTATGCCCTTTACTTATAAATATTATATTGTTGTATACACTAAACATAATTATTTATACGTGCAGCTTCGACTTTAGCTTTGTTCTACGTTTTAAAGCAACTTAACTAAGCCTAATACTATCCTCCCTCGCTATTATACACAACTATCTCCTTATTAAACGTGTTCCTAGGAGCAGAGTTGATTCTTTCTACTAATAAGTTAGCTTTATTGCTCTTACTTTATAGCTATTGAATACGTTTATTAACTTTTGCATATAACCCGTTAGTATATAGCTTTTCTTTTTTTACTTATCTGTTCTTTGCTTTTATATTAACATATTTAAATCTACAACTACCTATTTATAAATCTTGGGTCCTAAGAATATCCCCAGCTTAAATTGTTTTACGTATTAAGAATTAAATATATCCACCTATAATATTGTCCTTTTCCTCCTAAATATTACCCCGTTATTAAGCCATGCTATAGTTTACTATATTAAAAAAGCTGCTATACTTTATTTTTAGTCTTCCGGTGCATACTGCTTATTAAAAAGTTTTTTAGTTTAATATGCTTATAATTAAAGCAACTTTAGGAGTTTTATCCGTACGCTTGTTTTTGCTACGCCGTTTTATTATATAACATAGCATATATTACCTCTAAAGTTCGATATAGCAATCTTGGATTCTTTAAGCATAGTTTAACTAAAAAAGGAACCAAGATCTAAGTTTATATACGGATGCTTAAAATTAAAATAAGCACAAAACTAATAGGTTAAAACACATCGGTATAATTACTACAACAAATAGTAACAAGATATTAATAGCTGCATATTCTAGCTATACTACTGGGCCAGATTTTAAAAATAAAATCTTAGGCCATAAAGCAAGTATATAGGAAGGGGAAACTAATAAAACAACTCTAATTAAAAATACCGCAACGCCTGATATTTAATACCTATAGCACCGACACGGTTAGTTCAGCAGCAACCGCAGTTTTCCGTAGGAAAAGCACCTTAATGGACTTTTTTAAACCTAAACAAGATAATGTCCTTATATAAAAAGAAAATGCTACAATAGGAATACCCAGGTATAAAAGGACAACCTCGCCAGAACCTTACAACGCTTTTACAAGTTAAAGAATACTAGCAGATCTACTTACCCAGTTTTTAAGTCCAAGCTTTAATTTCTAACCTAATAATAATATATAGTATTAAAAAAAGTAAAATAGTGGTTTAAGAGGTTGTAATATAGATGGAAGTTCTTTTAAATCTTTAGAAAAGATTGCAGCATCCTGTATTAATACTAATCCTTGTTGTATTAGTCGGCGTAGTAAATCAGGGATAAGAGATAATTATATTATCGGTTAATACTATAAATAAGAAAGCGTCCGAAAATTTTACCAAGTTATTCTGCTGTGTTTAATTATTGTTTTTGTTACTACTTTCATCTGCTTTTAAACCGATTACGCTTTTACCTCTTTTAGCTCTTGTTTACTTTTTAAATCGCAGTTATTATATACTTTGCTGTTATCTTTAATATCTAACATGTTAATTAAACTTAAGTAAGAATTTTGTCCTATATTTAACTCTTTTAAATATTGCTATTATCAAAGACTATATATAATGCTACCTTTCTTAGGCTTATAGGGGCGTTTTATACGGCTAAAAATAACCTTACGAAGCGTATACAATTAATAGCTCGTAATAATAGCTAAAATAGGTTTAAAAAGAAACCTTCTAAAGATATTGCCCAA